CCAATTGATGGGGAGGCTGCAAAGGACCCTTGGGGTCTAGCAGGGCTGGACTCCGAGGACCGATGGACCCTCCCTGTGCTCCTAGAGGCCACGCGGCTGGAGGCCCCCGGGTGGGGCAGTGGTGTGAGGCCCCAGGCCAGCAGACAGGCAGGCAGTCCTCACTCTGCTGCGGAGGGGGAGAGAGACAATGATTCCGGAGGAGCGGGGAGAGAAGGGAGCCTGCAATGTGGGCATCGGCTTTGAGGAAGGAGGTGGAGGGAGGTATTTGTAAACAGTGGAGGTCAAGGTGGTTGCTGGCTGGGGCAGGGACTGAGGGCTGTAGGCCTGAGAGGGCAGGGGACAGGCTGCTGACCGGGAGGAGTAAGTGGCAAGAGATTAGGAGCGAGGGCTGACAGGTAAGGTCACCTGCCCCAGCTTGTTCCCAAGTGCTCTGAGTGACAACAGTCACCTGGCAGGGAGGTGGCTGCATCTCAAGGCAGTTGGTCTCTTTCAAGTTCCCTTCCGGGCTTGGTCACCCCTGGCACCTCGGGCTGCCCTCTGTCTGGAAAGTGGGGTGCTCTTCACAAGGGGCTAAGCACTCCTCTGACTCACTGGAGCCAACCTCGAATTCCAGTTCCGAGGCTACTTGCTCGCAGCAGCTCCTGGCCGGGAGCACAGACCCCTCAGGGGTCTGACCCCAAGAACCGGTGGTTACAGTAGTCAGTTCGGCACAGTAGTCAGTTGAGCCAAACAATGTGACACAGTGATGGCAACAGACTCACCACCGCCCACCCGGCTGATGAGGGACTGTGGCAGTGAGGTTTCATCAAGGACTCCCTCCACGTGGGGGGTCTGCCCTCCACATCCCTACCCGTGCCTTCAGTGCCCGCCTCCTCCCCACAGCACGGGGCCAGGTGGCTGGGCTGCTGGCACCATTTCTCAGATGCGGAAACTGAGGGTCTGTGTGTTGGTGTTGCTGAGTGAAGGTCCCACAGCGAGGGCAGAACCCAGAGCTTCCCCTTCTCAGGGTTGTGGTATGCCCCCCCCCACCCCTCCCCTGTGCCCCAGGGACAAATGTGTCCCAACCCTCTCTCCCGGGGGTTCTACAAGTTCCACCAGACTTCTGCCCAGCTCTTCCTGCTTTCGTAACTGAAGGAGAAGGAGGCCAGGGCAGGAAACTGTCAGGACTAATTTGCCAAGAGCTTGTGAACTTTTGTGACTGAGCCCCACCTCCCTCATCTCCCCCGCCCCCCACTTCCCGCAGACTGGCTGGCCCTCGGGAGCCCCTCCATGGTCCTGGGCCGTGATCCCCTGAGGCAGGAGCTCAGGGGCACCCAGTCCCTGTGTGAGGAGGCCTCGGGCCAGCAGGAAGCAGGAGGTACAGCCCCGGATGGCATCATCTCTCCTGCTCAGCAAGCCCAGAGCCAGGGGGACCTGGGCCAAGCTCCAGGGCAGGGCAGAAAATCTCCGCTCCCCAGGGCGGCCACCTGCCCCTCCGCGTAGGCCCAGAACAGGCAGGCACCTGTCCTGCTCACACAGCCCATCCCCGAAGAGGGTCCAGGAGGGCCTGGGGCTGGAATCCAGGCTCCTGCCCCCAGAGTCAGTCCCCTTCGCCCCGGCCTGCTGTGGAGCCTGTGGTTGGTCCCTGACAGCTCAGGGCGGAGGGTCCCGTCACCAGTCTCAGGGAGGTCGGAGGGGTTGACCACAGTCAGCCAGTCTGGGATGGCTCTGGGAGGGGCAGCACCTTCCGAAGCTTCTTTCTGGAACCGCTAGAAAGCGGGGCCTTGGGCGAGTGACTCACCTGTGTGTGCCTCAGTTTCCTCGCCTGGAAAATGAGGTAAGGACTGAATGCGAAAACACGTTTTAGAACACAGCCTGACTTTCTGTGTTTAATAAATGTTAGCTACTCTTCTTCTAACCACCATCACATTCCCTGCCCCAAGGGGGAGATCAGCCTTACCAGGGCGTGGAGGCCAGAGGCCAGCTCCGGGGACAGTTAAGCTGTCCTGTGCCTGGGGACAGTGGGCTCACTGCCTGAGCCCAGCACTGCCGGCCCTGGCAACCGATCAGACAGATCGGGGGCCAACTTGGCTGGGTAGATGGGGCGGCACTGGACACACGGGGGGCCCACCAGAGGCAGGTGCAGGCTCAGCTTGGCACATGTGCTTGAACTCTTGGGCTGGGCCAAGCCTAGTGAGGATGGACCATGTCCAGATCTGTGTTTGTGGCCAGAGTGGGATGGAGATCTGATTTTTCCATTCTCCCTTGTCAGAGTCACCTCCATTTTTCTTTTATCTCTTTTCAACTCCCTGAGGAGGGCTGCGGTGGGTGATGGCGGCACTCAACCACAGGGCCGGGCGGGTGCAGAAACCCTCTCCAAGAACTGACCCAGGGGTGCCACGTGCTATGCACTTTTCATATGAGAGGACTGAGCCTTCTGGAGGATGGTGTCCTACCCAGAGTTGCACAGCTGAAGCGGTCGGGCCATGCTGCTATGAATTTCCCCAGCTGGTGCGGCTGGCCCTGCCTTGAGAGCTCTCCTGACCTTGCATGGCCCAAAGCCACATCTTCCCAGCTGGTTCCAGGCCTCAACTTACTGTGTCTTTAGCCAAGAGCCCCTTCCTGGGCCCTGGGCCCTTAGCTACAAAGATCCTGTTGGCCCAGTGCTAGTGGAGAGCTTTGTGGCTTGGACTGTCTCTGGATCCCACAATCCCACCCACTCTGAATGTCCCAGACAGGTGTCTGGCAGGGAGGCCTCCGTCCTGTCTTTTGTCACCTTCAAACTGTTGTCCGGACCTGGAACACTATTTAAAGAGCCATCCCTGAGCTGCCCCAGGCCTGCTGCAGCGCGAGGGAGCACGCCAGACCATGGTAGGCTAGGGCTGCCCTGCTTCCTGACCCTGACCTCATCCTGTGACCTTGACTTCATTTGTGATTCTGACCTTTGCCTCATTCCCTGAACTCACCCTGACCTTGACCTGACTCCTCTCATTGATGTCCTTGCCCTTGAGCTGATGACCCTAGTCCTGACCTTTTCTTCACCCTTGATGTCATGCCTGCGTCTCGCGCACCCTGGGCTGCCCTTGATGGGTGGCCAGTCCATCTATGTGGGTCCTGATTTGGGTCTGCTTCCCTGGATTGGGTAGGGGCTGCTAAGGTGAAGAGGAAGACGAGGAAGAGGAAGGTGGAGGGAGACAGGGTGGGCCGGGCTTAGACTTTTCACAGCTCTGCTTCTGCTGAGAGGACATGACTCCTTGGGGGTCGGGTTGGGATTCCAGGACAGCCTGGGTGCTCTGGAGCCTGCTGGCCTTGCTTCCAGGTCCTTCAGCCCCTGCGGGGCCTGCCCTGCTGTCCTTCCATGCCCCTGTGCGCCACTCTTGGGGCTCCCTGGGGGCTCCCAAGGGCACTGTTCTTTCAACCATTGTTCTTGTCTCAACCGCCCTCATCAGTCCCTCTAGGCCTGAGAACTCTGACTGGCCGTCAAGCCCCAGCTCAGAAGCCACCTGCTCTGGGAGGTTTGCCCCGAGTGCCCCAGTGGCTGAGGGGCTTCTCTGTGTTCTCAGTACCTGGACTGTGGGCTCCTTGGGGACAAGCATGGGGCCCGATTCAGTTCTGGGTCCCTGAGTCGGGGCACAGGGCCTGGCTGGAGATCAGCAGGTACCTAATAAATGTCCTGATGCCTGGAGCTAGGCACACATGGGGAAACTGATGCTTAGAGCCCTAACTGATTTTCTTAACATCACAGGGGCTGTGAATACCACAGGCAGGATTAGAACTCAGATCTGGGCTACCCCCTTCTGCCCTGAGGTGGTCTTTTCAGGGGATCTTAGGGGCACATTATAAAAGGGAATTCCAAAGTCAGCTGGGCTGCAAAGGGTCCAGGCTGGGAGATCAGAAGGCCCTGAGCCTCAGTTTCCCCCTATGCAGTCCTCCTTTTGGGGGTTCCAGAACAGGGCTTGGCACACAGCAGGGCAATGTCTCACAAGATGGCCATGGAAGGCTGGGTGAGGCAGGGCTGGGTGACGCCAGGCCAAGAGCAGGTCTGCGGAGAGAAAGGGCAGAGTATCCCACAGACGGAAGTGATCCTTTTTATTAATCAGAGGGAAATGCATATGTAATTATGTGAGATGAACTCTGCAGGGAGGTTCTTTTCTTTATGATGTCTGAAGGGATTTATAAATATTACAGAGGTTTTACGGCATCATAACGTCCTGGCCGCCCTGCCAGCCCCCCTTTCAAAGGATTAGTGGAGACAAAGCACCCAGTAAAAGCTAATTATAAGTCAGCCGAGCTGCTGCTCCTGAATTGAGCCCAGGCGCCGGAGGGAAGTGGGGGCGAGCGCAGGGGTGGGGAAGTTGGGTGGTGGGACAGGAGCGAGCTGGAGGAGGGGAGACCACACAGGCACTGGGGGTGGGGGTGGGGGGACGGGAAGCCCATGCTCTGGGATGGGTAGACGAACTTGGCAGGAGGGTGGTGCAGGCTGAGATGGAGGCAAGAGTGGGGGTGGTGAGGTGGGAGCGGGAAGCCTGTGTCTGTTCCACCTCTGAGCCAGTTCGGGGACTCGAACATGGGGGCCCTAGTGATGGCTGCTGAGGGCAAAGTCTCCTCCTCAGGGGTTCTTGAGGACTGAGAGCGTTCAGTGAGTGCTCAATAGTGGACTCCGGGCACCATGGCATCCTGAAAGCCGCCCTGGAATTATTCCATGTGGGTGGTCGCCTGCTCTACCTGCTGGGGAGCTCACCCCTGAGCTTTGGGGAGCTATTTCCACACCGATCCCCACTCTGAGCCTGGGTGGGGCAGGGGACCTCAGAGATGAACAGACACAGCGATATGGCAGGACAGCGTGGTATGTGATACGGGATGTGGCTGCCCTAGACTGGTAGGAAGGGAAGAATCGGGGGAGCTCTAAATTGGCTTGGGGAGCGGGGAGGGCTTCTCAGAGGAGTTGAGCCTAGAGGATGAGGATGCTGCCAGATGGAAGGCAGGGAAGGTACTCCAGGTAGTGGGAATGGCAGGAGGAAATGTTGGGAGAGAAGAAAGCTCTAAGTGGGTTTGGGACAGAGTCGGGGACCCAGGTGAGTGGAGGTGGAAGCTCTGGGAAAGGGACAAAGGACAGATCCCACAGGGCTGAGGAGTCCAAATGTTATCCTGAGAACACTGGGGAGGTGGCAGGAGAGGAGGTGGGCCCCGTCTGGGGTCTGATGCTAGAAAAGATGCCCTTCTCTGCTTCACAGGCTGGGCGCAGACCACCAGCCTTCCGGAGCCCGGGGGCCCAGGTCAGGAAGCAGCTGTCTGGCCCGGTGGGGTGGGTGCTCCTGTGGGCTTCTTGCCGTGGCTGGGAAACCACCCCGCTTATCTGCAAGGCTCCATTAGGAGCTTTGCCTGCCTGTCTGCTTTGGGCTGGGCTGTGGGAGAAGGGGCGCGAGGGTTGGGAGGTGGTGAATGGCTGACCTCAGAGGAAGGGGCTTCTGCAAGGCCTCACCCGCTACCTCGCAGGCACCGAGGAGAGCCCGAAAAAGAACAGAAGGCGGAGCCAGCTCCAATGTCTTCTCCATGTTTGATCAGAACCAGATCCAGGAGTTTAAAGAGGTTGGTCAGTGTCCCCTGGGGCCACTCGGAGGATCTGTGTAATCCATAGAAAGCTCTTGGGGAGCCAGTAAGGTGTGGGATCAGCCCTCCGTCCCTGAGGCGTGATGATGGTGTCCACCATGGTGCGCCTCACAGCCTGCAGGCGTGACTGCTGTCCTCGGGCAGCATGACCCTCTCTATCTGAGCCTTTGCTTTCTGTTTGTCCTCGGGCAGGTCCTTCCTCTCTCTGAGCCTCAGATTTCCTCTCTGTAAAAGGGGGTTGCTGTGAACATGCAATGAGGGATGGGCATGAAGCCCCAGCAGCATGCTGGCGCACAGTAGGAGCTCAGCATGGGCTAGCCATCACTGTCACTCTGGTGTCGTGCTGAGCTGGGTAACGGGGGTGGCCAGAAGGGCCTGCACTGAGGTTGCTGGCGCACAGTAGGAGCTCAGCATGGGTTAGCCATCACTGTCACTCTGGTGTCGTGCTGAGCTGGGTAACGGGGTGGCCAGAGGGGCCTGCGCTGAGGTTGCTGGGGCAGCAGTTTGCAGGACAGCCCCTTGGGGGAGGTGTTTCTTTTCCGGGGAGGGAAGCTGGGCTTGGGTGAGTGGGAGGGTGACCTTTCAGTGCCCGTGTTTCTGCCAGGCCTTCACCATCATGGACCAGAACCGGGATGGCTTCATTGACAAGGAGGACCTGAGGGACACCTTTGCTGCCCTGGGTGGGTGACCAGCAGTGTGGGGTCTGGGGGCTTGGGGCAGAACAGGCCTTCCAGAAAGAGTGAGCGGCTGGGGGCAGGCGGTGTGAGGGGCTCATGTGTCATTGGGGGTACAGGGAAGGTCAGGAAGGATTCCTGGTTGTTAGAGGACTTGCCAGGGAAGGGGGAGGGCATTTCATGTGCAGGAACGACCTGTGCAAAGGTCAGGGGTGGGAGGCGAGGGTGAGGTGAGGGGTCAGGAGACGCCTCAGGTGGGGGAGAGGCCGGAGATGTGTGCAGGTCTCCAGGGCTCTGGGCTTTGGCTCCCAGGGAGGCTTTTGCACCCTCAGGCCCAGGGAGGACCTGAAGAGGGCCTCAGGGACTGGGTGGGTGGGGGCTGAGGCTGGGGAAGGGGGCAGAACCAAGTCAGGTCTGGACGGAGCTTTGAGCTCCTGGAGATCTGGTTGTCCCCTGGAACGAAGCGGAATCCCAGAGTCCCAACCTCCTGGCAACCAGTTGCCACCTCCAGGGACAAATGAGCCCGAGGCCCAGGTCTTCCAGCCCCTATGCACCTCAGCTTCAGATTCTTTGAGCCTCAGTTTCCTCATCTGTAAAATGGGGATGGCAAACAAATAACTTGCTCTATTTCCCAAGGAGGCCGAGGTGGTGGCTGAGTGCAGTGAGGCTGGGGGCTGACCAGTGCTGACTGTGGCTGAATGTGGTCCCCTCCCAAAGTCCCGCAGCAGGTGGGCGGGGCCTTAGGGAGTCGGGGCCTTAGGGAGTCGGGCGGGTGGATGGTAGAGCTGAGAGCCTGCAGGACTCTATTTTCCGGGGCTGCCTGCCACAGGGTCCGCTCTCACCCTCACTGTGCTCCTAGGCGTCTCCCTCTCCTCCCCAGGCCGCATCAATGTGAAGAATGAGGAGCTGGAGGCCATGGTGAAGGAGGCCCCTGGGCCCATCAACTTCACGGTCTTCCTGACCATGTTTGGGGAGAAGCTGAAGGGTGAGTGAGGCCCCAGGTGGCCCTGGGCAGGGAGGGGTGAGTGGGTGTGGGCAGGCTGGGCCCTGTGTGCAGATGTGCATCCTTCTGACGCACACCACAGCTGGGAGCACGGTGTCACCCCCAGGAACACAAGCCTTCCCAGCCCGGCCTCGGTTTCCACCTCTACACCACAGAGTGGTGGTAACTGTAACGACCCCTCCTTGCAGAGCCATGAGGGGCCCAGAGGGACAAATTGTGTAAAAGCTCCCCCATCAAGATGCCTCCGCCACCTCCCTACTCCTGGGCTCATCTTGCTTGCTCTGCCTCACTGCCCGCTGGACAGTGGAGGTGGTGTGGGGAGCCGGCACGGCCATGGCATACTCAGCCCCAGGGCGCCTTATGTGCCATGCCAGCTCAGCCTGGTTCAGTGACCCTGAGTGGGGGGGCGGGGGGGTGGGAAGGATTGAGAAAAGACAGACAAGAGAATGAAAGCTGGGTCTCGGTGGGATGCTGCTCCCTGATGAGGAGACAGCGCCGGCGCCCACAAGCCGTGTCTTTATTTTATAGCAGATGCCACGAGGCAAAGTAGGGGCGTGATCACGTTGTTTACAGCATTCTCGTGAGTTTCAACCTCACTTAACTACATGCACCCGAACTCTATCACAAGGCACGTGGGGCCACGTGTTTGGACCATAGGTTCAAGCTCACAACCACAGCCGTTGGCTATGATTGTGCTGGGAGGGCCCTGCCCTCCAGCTGGGACTTGCACGTGGCAATGAGAGGACCCTGTCCTTTCATTAGTCCGAGGCTTGAACCTGGCCAAAACACTGTACCCGCGCCCCACAGGTGGGGTTGGAAGTTATAGCGGCTGACCACAGTTCCTTCCCCGGGGAAAGGATGGAGGGGCCTCCTTCATAAGTGAGAAGACTTGGGCCCAGAGAGGGCGTTACAACTGCCCCAGGTGTCCCAGCATCAAAGAGGTCGGGCTGGAACCTGACCCCAATTCCTGGCTCTAACCATTGCCACGTCAGGCGTGGGGCGCATGGTGGTGCGGGAGTCCAGCCTCTCTGCCCTCTGCCCCTTAGTGCCAACCCCTGGGCTTGAGGGTCCATGGTCAGAGGGAAGGGCCAGCCTGAGCTGCGGCTGCCCTGGGAGGTGGGCCTTGTAGCCACCCCACCCTGAGGGTGCCCCTGCCTGATGCCTCCCTGTCTCTGCTAGATCTGGGTTCAATACCTAGCCCCCCACAGGCCCCCAGGATGACCAAGGCTTGTCTACTCTTGCACCTGAGTTTTCTGTCTGTGAAATGGGCGTTGTGTTGATCTCCCAGGGCTGCTGTAACAAATGACTGCAGACTTGATGGTTCAAAAACCAGCAGTGTACTCTCTCAGCTCTGAAGCCTGGGCTATGAAATCTGGCGGGTTCTGCTCCCTCAGAGGCTCCAGGGGATAACTTGTTTGTTGCCTTTCCCAGTTTCTGTGGCTGCATCGCTCCCATCTCTGCCTCCGTGGTCCACTGCCTCCTTTTCTGTATGCCTCCCTTGCCTCACTCTTAAGAGGACACTTGTCATAAGATTTAGGGCCCACCTGGGTAATCCAGGACCATCTCCCCACCTCAAGATCCGTTCTTGACATCTGCAAAAGCCCCTTTTCCAACTAAGGTGACATTTCCCAGTCCCAGGGATAAGGACATGGGTATATTTTTTGAGGGGGCCATGATTCAACCCACTACAGGGACGATCCTACCTAACTGCACAGCTTTTATTTGGTAAAAAAAAAATCATAATACTTTCATGGGTTGTGACCTGCTGGCAAGTACGATAGCCCCACACACAATGTCCTGGCTGATTCTGGACTAGAAGGAGGCCAGCAATTGACCTATGACCGGACAGCCTCACCCTCCTGTGTCAGAGACAAGAGACCGAGGGCAGGAGAGAGAGGAGGCTGTGGGCCTGGGTCTGTCCGGCTCACTCAGGAGTGCCATCGGGCCTCCTCCAGGCAGCCAGTAGGGTTATTCCTGGGACCATGACCACATTCAGGAAGAGCTCAGAAGCCCAGGGACCTGGGGCGGGGGTGACACTCCCAGAGAAAGGCATGTGGGACTCTAGCCAGTGACCCAGTGACTTTAAAGGGAGGTGTGTTGGTCTATGACTGAGCTAAGAGCTCTGCCCCAGACCAGGCAGGGTCGCCGGCTTGCAGCTTTTTCTCATTTTCGCAGGGACGCCAGGACTGGGGCTTCAGCTGAACATGTCATGCAAACGGGCTGAGCCTGCATGCTCAGCCAGCAGTGGAGACAGGAGCCGGGCTGAGGCAGGCACGGTCTCAGCCCTCTAATTAGGACAAGGACACGTTGTCATGAGATTCCCAACAGCGAGGGGAAGGTGTAGCCACTCTGCACCCTTTGATGAGGTTCAAAGTCTGCAGAAGAGAGTGCGAGGCCAGCACTGTGCCAGGCTTGTCACCCTGGGCCAGCCTCAGAGATGCCTAATGACCCGGACACATCCTGTCCTGAGCTCCCAGTCTGATGAGGGAGACACAGCTGACCCTGACCCAGTCTGATGGGCAGCAGCACAGAGGGGTGGGACGAGCAGGGGGCTCTGGAGGTCCAAAGAGTTGGCTTCAAATCCTTCCTCCCCTTATTAGTGGGGATCTCAGGAAGTAACAGAGATTCTCCGAGCCTCAGCTTCCTTTTTGACAAACTGAGGACATCAGTACCTACCATGTGGGGTGTCCTGGGGTTCCAGGGGAGCAAACAGTGAAGCCGCAGGGCGGAGCTTGGCGCAGAGCGCTCAGATGTGTTTGCGGACATGAGGGAATAATGTTAGTCCAGATCTTTACCGCACGTTGTCATAACTGACCCTGGGAGGTGGGCAGCAAACACCACCTTTTTCTCCATTTCACCAATGGCACAGCCAAGCCTTAAAGAAGGAAGGGGACATCCCCAGTCCACAGTGAGCAGGAGGGCAGTGTGACAGAGGGGAAGGAGCACGACATATGGGTCACCAGGTCCCCTGCTGTTGTTCACCCAGCCTGTGAGGCCTTGGGGGAGACCCCCCTTTCCTGGGCCTCAGTTTCCCCATCTGTACAACCAGGGGGCTGGATACTCAATCTCCTTGTGGGAATAGAGCTAATTCTTCAAATGACTTCTTTTCCTAAAGCCCATGCTATGCAAGTGATAAAACCAGGAATGCTCCTCCCCACTGCCCGCCCCACAGCCTGTTGGCCCACCTGCCCCCTCTCCATCCGGGGACAAGCCTCCAATGCCACTGCCCGAGTCCCGCCTTTGGCCCCCAAGTGCAGCGCTTTTTCTTCTCTACCCACAGCCTGTCCTGCGCATCTCGGATGATGAGAAAGCGCCAGAGCTGCCCTCCCACCTCACTAATCACGTGGCAGCCTCAGCTGTGAGAACTTGGCCACGTCATTTGCCCTCGCTGAGCCTCATTTTCTTGTCTGTAAAATCGGGCCACTCAGCAGGTTCCGCACGTAGCAAGTGCTTAGTCAGGGTCGTGCACAGCTGTGCAGGCTGTGATCCCTCAGAGCCTTTGGCTATGACCACTATTCCTGGTTTCCCTGGAACCTCCCTTTCCTCGCTTCCACAGGGGAGTGGAAGCTGGGGAGGAAGCTCCCAAGCCCTTGCCCTCGGTAGGGGCCATGGGGCCTGCCCCCCCCAGCCCCCATCCAAACGCTGCCTGTTCTCTTCATGTGGGCGCTCTCCTTGCCTGTGTGTGCTGCTTCTAGGCACGGACCCAGAGGAGACCATTCTCCATGCCTTCAAGGTGTTCGACACTGAAGGGAAAGGTTTCATCAAGGCGGATTTGTAAGTCCCCTCAGCCCTCCGTGTTGGTCTTTCTCTCTCTGAAACTTCAGCTATAAAGGAACTGGTGTGGAGTCCGGGTGGTGGCAGCCCCGTCTCCTCTCTGCCCAGAACTCAGCCCAGCTCAGCCACTGATGTCCCTCCCTCTCTGGGCCTCAGTGCCCCCATTTCTGTGTGGAAGTGGGTAGGGAGTCTGAAGTCATCAGGGAGGGCTTCCCAGTGGCGGGGGCGGGTGGGGGGAGAGGCAGGTCTTGAAGGATGACTAAAGGTGCTTGAGCTGAAGCAGGGAGTATTCTAGATGCAGGAACACAGTGAGTGAAGTGCCAGGGCTTGGTGTGTGCGAGGTTACTGAGGAGTGGGCTGTGGCTGGAGGGTGTGAGTGGGTGTGGGGTGGAGGAGACTGAGCACAGAGAGGCAGGCAGGGCCTGTATGGAGTAGCTCGCTCACCAGGCCCTGGACCCTGGGTCTGCCCTGGGAGCTTGAGAAAGAGTTAGGCAGGAGCAACATGGAGGCCAGCCTGGAGGAGGAGAGGAGGAGGTACAGCCACCATGAAGGCCTTGGCTGTTGCGATGGAGGGGAGAGGATGGGTAAGTAAAACACCAGAGGCCAAAGCCAATGGGATTCAGGGCCTGAGTGGATCAGGATGGAGGCGGGCCCATGGGAAGGGACCAGCTCAGCTGGGAACACGGAGAGTAAGGTGGCTATGGGCTGGCATTACAGAGGCGTGGGCACTGACATCTGCTATGCCTGGGAGCCTCAGCCCAGTGAAAGCTCAGGGCCGAGGGCCAAGGGTGGCAGGCAGGGCAGCGGCCACCTGCCCAGGGGCTGGGACACTGAACTGCCCTCTGAGCTGTCCCTGGGCCATCCCTTCAGAGCCTCCAAGGCCTTGCTGGGTGTCTGGGTGGTCCTGGGCAGGCAAGGTTCCCCCAGGCACAGGCTTTTGGACCAATTATTGTGCCGCCTCAGGCATTGGCTGTGAGACTGGTTTTGCTGCCTATTAGAATCATCTCTTAGTGGAGAAGGGGTGGGAGCGGACAGGGGGCAGAGGGGAAGTGGGGACAGTCTCCTTTGTCTCTCACACGTTCTCACCATCCCACACTCCCAACGTTGTGAGTCACTTACTCCCCAGGGGTAGAGGGGGGTGATTAGGATCTCTCCGGGCCGAAGCCCTCTCCTTCACCCCTCCCTGAGGTCCATCTTGAGGAGCTGGGGGAGTCACTGGGGCACGTCTGCCATTCACCTTCGCCTCCACCAGGGCAAGGCCAGGGCTGGGAGGAACCCTCTGGGGACCCGATTTGGGAACCAAAGGCACCGCCCAAGGATAGGGGGCCTGGAAGATGGGGCTGCTCACCAGTCAGGCCACAAGGAGGCTCTGGTTGAAACCGAGTCTGTGAAAAGTCCCCAGCCTGGGGAGCTGGGAACTGTGACTGTCCTGCAGTCACATGAATAATGGAAAGTGTGCGTGGTCCTTAGCGGGGCCTGCCATTGCTGGCGACACAGGCCTCTGGTGCTCAGGGCCCCGCTCAGCCCCCAGGGCCAGCCCTGCTCCCTGCTCTCCCCGAGAGCCCTCTGGCCCCCTCCCCCAGCTCCTAGGGCATCAGTCCCTCCTGCGCAGCCTCAAACTCACCTTGCATGTCTCATCTCCGGCTAGTCCTCTGGGCCCAGGCAGCTCTGGCTCCTGTGGGCAGCTGCTCTGGACCACCCAGGGGGCAGGGCCCCACCCTGCCACTACACATCCTTACACTTCCCAAACCGCAGTTTCCTTCTCTGTACATGGAGTTAATGACAGTCACTTCCCAAGGCCATGAGGAGCAGATGAACCCTGGGCAGGCCCATGAGGACATGCACCTGGATAGGTCTCCCTGTCCCTGGGCTGAATGTGAGCACCTGTCCACTGTAGAACACTGCACACACGGCAGCAGCCATCGCGAACTGGGGAAGCAGGACATCTAGAACCAAGGCAAAGAGACCACCCTCAGTAACCTTGAGGTTGATTATTAGTGCACAGTGGACCATCTGAGTGGCCCCCAAGGTCATGTCAGAGTCCCAAGGTCATTTCATTTGGTTCCCACTTGATGCTGGGAGGAGAGTCCGTGTTACAAAGGAAGAAAATGAGGCTCAGCTGAAGTGGCGTCTGAGCCCACGTGGCTCTCTGGGGGCTGTAGCGCCAGCCCTATCCCTTTCCCTACCTTCACTGGTGTACCCCTGGACCAGGACTCCTCCCCCAAGCCCACCTGCCCTCATCAACCCTGTGATCTGTGTGTCTACTCACAGGGTGGCCCTGCCCCTGAACATGACCCTTTCTCTTCCTTGAGCAGCATCAAAGAGAAGCTCATGACGCAGGCAGACCGGTTCAGTGAGGAGGAGGTGAGCTCTGGCGTTTTGAGGGTGCTGCTGAGCACTGCTAAGAGGCTTCCTGGAAAGCACAGCCCAGCCCTTCTCAGCAGCCACCCCCACCCCACCCCACTCACATCACTCTTAGTGATGTCTCCCTGGACTCCTTTGATGAGAACAAGAAGGATGGCGGTGAGGGGAGGCTGTGGGACCCTGGCCTCCGTGCCCTCCACTGCCATGCCTCCATCTGACACTCCTGGGTGACCCCTTGCTCTGGCCCTTATTTGGCCCTGGTCCAGGCCAACTCCCTGCTCCTTCCCCAGATCAAGCAGATGTTTGCAGCTTTCCCGCCAGATGTGTGTGGCAACCTGGACTACAGGAACCTATGCTATGTCATCACGCACGGCGAAGAGAAAGACTAGAAGGCGATCGCGGACCTCCCCCAGAGTCAGAGGCTGTAGTGAGAGGGAGCAAACACTGGGGATCGGGCAGCCGATGGGAGCTCCTATGACCAGCATGTGGGAGGAAAGGCTCTCCTTGCTTTGTGGGTGGGGTGCAAAGCAGGAATAAATAATGCTAACAAGGTCTGAGTTTTTGTGATTAATGCTCCTGCTGGGGAGAAAGCTAAACATTCCTATGTTGTTGGTTTTTCCAAAACTTTTTACTTCCCTGGCTTTGCTCAAATGTTTCTGATGAGCTAGTGTTTAGAACTAATTGACAGTTTTAATGATCCCCAGCTGGGCCACAGGACACTGCCTTCATTTATGAAGCTTTTATTGAGCATCTAGTGCGTGCCAGCCCCAGACACACAGTGATGAGACAGCCTGTCCCTGGGCAGGAAGATCAGGCAGTGAGGACAACAATTGGGGTGGGGACAAGGGAAGCAAGTCCAGGGAAGACCTGGAAGCTAGGAACTGAGCAGAGGCAAAGTAGGTGGAAAGGAGGGGTCGATTCAAGGAATGTTTAAGGAGTAGGCCAAGGGTGCTGAAACAGGACGCACATAGCACCGACCATAAAATAAAGGTGCGTAAATTGGACTTCATAAAAATTTAAAACTCCTGTTCAGCAAAAGACAACACGAAGAACGTGAAAAGGCAAGGCACTGGGCTGGAGAAGATATTGGCAACAATAGATTTTGACAAGGATCTGACAGCCAGAATATACTTAAAAAATCTTACACATTAATCCTGGGAAGATAACAACCAAAACAAATAATCAAACAAAAAACAGGTAGATGACTGTTTGGTGCAAGTTCCTCAGTCAGGGACTTGACCCGTCTGGGTGCAGGAAATGGGCAGAACACGCGAGGATCGGTTGGTAGGTGGGGCCAACAAAGCAGCCAACAACTGGCTGGTCAGTGGCAGCTTATATACAGGCTCAGACAAAAGAGCCCTCGTGCCAATTAGTGATGCCTGTGCTACCTTAACATAAGCAGGTTACATAAGGGTGCGCTTGCGCAGTATGTATGGTGCTGCTGCTGAGTCATTGCTCTCTGCGTGCATAGGGCAAAGGGGCCTTTAACATAGTAATACTGCAGTGTCAGTGCCTTCACGCATGCATATGGCGAATGGGCCTTTAACCTCCGGCACACTCTGGTCAAGGCCCTCACAATGACAGAAAAGGATACCCAAATGGCCTGGAAATATGTTTAACCTCATTTCTCGTAAGAAAAATGCAAATAAACACTTCCATTAGGTGCATACCCACCATGGCTAAAAGTAAAACGACTGCCAGTACCAAGTGTTGATAAGGATGTGGAACAAACAGAACTCTCCAATTTTGGTAGCAGGGGTGTAAAATGGGCCAGGCATTTTGGAACACGCTTTGGCAGTATCTACTAAAGTTAAAATGCATGCATATCCTGAGCCAGCAGT